GGGGGGGGGGGGGGGGGGGGGGGGGGGGTTTGGGATAGATTGGGACAGGGATGAGATGTGGCTGGCTTGAGGCTCCTAGGAATTTTTTTTTAGGTGCTTAGGGGGTGCGCAAAACCACCTTTGTCAACCATCATTGGTTTGACAATAGGGCAACACTGGGAATATCACCTGTAACTCACACATGTAGAGACTGTGTGCAGTGAGCAGCTTTGCTAGTGGGTGATTCAAGGCCTACAGTTTTGTGGGAATTATTTTCAGCAAGACAAGGCAGTGCGAGAAGGCAGTGAATGCAGCCTTCCTCACGCAAACTGTTTACATGCAGTGCACCGTGTCTGCTTGCAGGTCCCAATGGATCTCAGGCTGGACAGATCGACTATTCCAAAGCGTGGGAGCAGTATTACAAAAAGCTTGGTAAGTGCCTTGTGGGCCAGACGCAAACAGCCTTGCCACTGCCTTGGTCTCTAACAGCCATTTTATTGGTCTTAACATTTTCAGTTTAGTGGTCCGTTTGTGGTTCCATATTACCATATCCCAGGTTGCTCTATTCTCAAACCAAATTGTACACTGGTTGCTTTATCTGCAATATTTGGCATGTCTTGGCGTCAACCTCGGTTGTGATGCACCTGAAAGACAACTTCCCAGTGAGTGATTGACAGTGTTGGGGAAGTTACTCGCAAAAGTAAACATTACAGAGAGGTGGAAAGATCTGGTCCAGAAGGTACAAATCCAGACAAACCAGTTGAGTACTCTGCGACTGTGACTCTCTATGCTCAACTGGTTGGTTGAAACAAAACCTTGGTCTGGTTCTGGACCTGAATTTTCCACCTCTGTATGTAATGGGTTACTTTCACGAGTAACTTGCCCAACACTGGTGGTTGATTCCTCTGCCTTCAGATGTCCACTTTAAGCTATTGGTCCGTTTGAGTCTGTCTTCCTCTCCAGCCGGGTATGTGGTCTGTCGTGTGAAGTGGCTACACCGTGTGCCGGTAGCAGCTAATGTAATGAGGAGAGAGGCACCTGGCATTTGTGTGAGCAGTCAGCTTGACTTCTGCCTCTTCCTCCTCCTTCCAGGTCAGCAGAGCCAAGCCCAGACTACAGGCCCCGACTACAGCAAGGCATGGGAGGAGTACTACAAGAAACAGAGTAGGTACACTGTTCTCAGCCCTGGTCCAGTAGGGACTTGGCTCTGAATGGTTTTAAAAATTAAAACCATTTTTCAATTTGAATTTGATGCCTACAACACGCTTCAAAAAAGTGGGGACATAAGCGACAAAAGACTGGAAAAGTTGTGTAATACCAAAACAAAACACATGGTTGAATATCTATTTAGGTTAATTGGCATCAGGTCAGTAAGGGCGCTTTTCCACCGCACCAGGTACCATACTTTCGGTACTTCCATAAAGTACCAAAAGTATGGTGGTACTTTTTGTGTCGGTTTTCCACTGGCGTAAAAACTGGTACCGGCGCCAAATGACATCAGTGACCACCCCTGACTGACATCATCACAAAGCGTGACGCAGTATTTCTTCTGCTGAATTCAAACATGTTATGATCCTTCACTTTCCTGTAGTCCTGCTTAAGTTTTTCGATTTTCAAGCGGCATTGTTCGATGTTTCGCGTGTGCCCCATTTCTTCCAAGCGGCTTGCTATTACGGCAAAAAGAGCCCCCCAGAGAGGCAGAGTCACTGCAGTGAAGATGGGGAGACGTTCACCACTCTGTGAAAGACTGCGTGGGCAAATAGTGCAACGATTTATTCCTCAACATAATATTGCAAAGAATTTAGAAACATTGTAGCTCAACCTATGCAGGTTCAAACTACTGTGGTACAAGCAAGCTACAACAGTTTTGGGAAAGTATCATACTTCAGATGTTAGTTTAATGATGCATTGTACCATGTTAATTCAGTGTGAATGTCTGTTGTATGGATAACACACCTCTGTTCAGGAAAGCCTGTAAACAGCAGCTGATTTGATGTCCCATTACATCATAGTGCACGCTTTCACGCTGCCAAAACATTTTTTTGGAATCAGAACCTTTTTCCAGAACCAGGGACCATTGTCGTATTTGTACTGCAGGAACTCTGTCCGATTTTTGTAGTTCCTCAGAGGCAGATCCAAAACCCTTTAGTACCTGCTGCAGATGTGGTACTTTTTGTTTAAACATGAACTACTGCGGAGGCACTTGCAGTGATAGCTTGCTGATTGGTTGGCCACAAGCACCGGCCCTGACATGGAAGTTACACGGAATTGCAGGAAAAGAGATGTGACGGAGCAAAAATTGAGCGGATGGAATAATTTTTGTACACCAATTACATTTTAATTCATCAATTAATACGTTTTTTACTTGTGTATTTGGTCACCTACCATTACACTTTTGTAGTAGGTGCTGGCAGTGAAACTTGCCAACATTTATTAGCAGGATAGCATTACATCATTTTTTATTCTTTTTAAATGAAACATCGATCTTCTGTCCAGATTTAATAAGAATCATGAACATGTCGTGGCTCATAAGTAAAATATTAATAAAAGGCTGTGTCCCATTTTGATTGCAATTTGATTGCCGCCCAGTAACTAACAAATACCTAACAAAACAACTTGCTTATCCTCCATTCTGGTGTGGCTGTGTAGTAACATGTGAAATTGTTTTAAGTTCAACCCACAAACTTTTTGCATCGCCAGTACTTATTTAGCATTAATGTCCCGGTTCCTGTTGTGTGGTGTGAAAGCAACAGATCAGGGGCTTGTAAACCGGGACCAGGTTCCAGAACTCCGGTGTGAAAGCACCTCTTGATCCCTTCAACGGCAGACTGTGAAGTTTGTGTTATTGAAACCGATGAATGCCTCTGATCAAGATGTGAGCCTGTGGTTTACCTTTCTTGTTCGGGTTTGGGGTTGATGCCCTCCGTTGCTGCCATCCGCAGGCCAGGTGACTGGCCCCACCTCCCAGCAAAGCTCGACCCCTGATTACAGCGCTGCCTGGGTTGAATACTACAGACAGCAGGGCGGGTACTATGGGCAAGGTGCACAGCAGGGACTGGCTCCAGGTCTTCAGGTATGACCGTGTGTTGAGCCCTCCCCAAACTGATGGCTCCCCACTCAGCCCTCTGCAATGGGCATTCTTACAGAAGACATTAGTCTATTAGTTGTGTGTATCTGTGGCTGTGTGTCCTTTTCCTTTAATTTGCTGTTCTGACTTTTCTTTCAGGAACATTAGATTGGAGTCCTTTTAGTTGAAGATTTTGGAATCAAGAGGATTAAAAAAACAAAAAAAACCTTTTGTAATGGAGGTTTCTAGATTTGCGATGCCTTGAAGACTTTATTTTTAGTGAGAAACACTAGCTGTAGGATGACTTAAACAATTAAAATATTTCTAAATCAGGAACATTTAATTACTAAATACTTGTGTACATCATTATTTTGAATGGACAATATCTGGGGTCCATTTTGGACTCATTCTTTTTTTTAAATTTCTTTCTTTATTAAAATGGGAAAAAAAACAACCAAAATGTACCCCGGAGTTGTAACATTTCAACAAATCGCAATATAATCTATTTTTTCTAGTTCTGTTGCAATAAAAATCGTGATTATATTGGCTTAGCAGTCTTGAATAGGTCTTGGTTTTTTTTTTTTTGTCATGAAAGAACTGATGTTTTAAGAATGTGTGTAAAATGATTTTTTTGTTTCTTTTACATAACACATTTTAATTCAGTGAAATGAAACTGTGATATTTCGTTACAGGAAATGTATTTTGTTACAAAATACCAGTTGTGTTGACATAGCGGTCAGTTTCTAATTTAATGCGTTTTGTCTGTTGTACTCTGGTTTAAATAAGGTGCAATGTCTCATTTCATTTTTTTTTTTTTTTTGAAACAAAGATGGATTCTAATATTTTGATGGGCGTTTAACTTGTAGTTCTTAGATAATTTTTTTTTTTAAGTATTTGAAAATGTAATGGATAATTTTTTATTACTATGGTCTGATATTGGGAGTGGGAGGGTATTTGGCTATATTGCGAGTTGCCTTTTGCTATCTTGTTAAACTATGTAAGTATGCTCATACTTGACTAAATACTTTATTTAAATGTATAATTAAATCAGAGTTTGTTGGTTTCATAAACTATCCCTATTCTGTTTTCATACTGAAAAATGTTTAAATTGTGAATGTGTAATTTGAAATCTGATGTTGCATCTTGCTATGGCTAAAATGTCTTGGTTTTATGTATGCTCTGTGCTTTGACTATTCAAAACTGCTAGGCCTCTGAAATCTACCTGTGTAATAATTAATAGCTTTTTTATATTCTAAGTATTAAGATCAAAGTTGTCTTATTTCCTACCAGCCAGAATTCCTGGAGCCCCAACCATTACACTGATTCAAAGTTCGATGCTAATAAGTTTTTAAATATTTCTTTCTACCGTGTGATCTAATATATGTATGATTAGTTATGAAATGAATCTAGTATTAACTGCATTACTTAATGAAAAGGGATATTATAATTTCAAAATGTTTAATTTTAGTTTTTTCTCATGTGTACAGATGTGTATTAAAAAGTCAAAAGTAATTTTTTGTTCAAATGATTTTCCCGTCATGTCATCCCCCCCCCCCCCCCCTCCTTTCGCCCCTAGTTGCTTACCTTCCTGGAGCATTTCTTTCTGAAAAATATCTTCTGGTTTCTGGACTTGCCATGAAACGGCAAACGTATAGAATGTGCCACTTTATTTGTTCTGTATACAGAAACTGCATACTTTTAACTTCCGTCTTGTGGTGAAAACGTTTATTTTTCTAATGTTAAGCGGTAAGCTGCACCTCTTGGAATTTCATATCTTCTGTGCACTCTTGAGATTAAATCCTGACGTCGACAATGAAAAATGAACTTGAATGTCGTGTTCAAGATGCTTATTTCCAGAACCTCGATATGGCACGATAGACGGTTACGGTCTAAATACCCATCCACCTTGCCTGTCCCTGCTCTTTCATAGTGGCGTTTCCTTTGACTAGCCAGTATTATTGTACCTTGTGTACGTGTAAAATGCGGTGATCAGTGGGTGGCTGTGCACCAGCCTCTATCCCGTTAACTTCAGATCCGATCAAGTGAGTTTTAAGGCAGTAGGTGGGTGAGAGCACACGTTACTTGTCTACGGTTGGTTTTTCTCATTTAATCCATAATTTTGAAAAATGGTTTTACGCGACCATTCATTGTTTACGATAATGGTTCGTATTAAGTTTCAAACGAATTTGGAGGCAGGTGTGAAACTAATCACTTAAGTTGAGATGTCGGGCGCATTATTACAGTAATTGTGTAAGCAATGTCGTCAAAACGTTTAAAAGAATACATCTGAACACGAACACAATCTGGATTATACATTAGTGTAAAATTACAAAGTGACCCTGACACTGGGCCTTTAATAGACCACTAATTGGGGGGGGGGGTATACTGACCCTGTACTCGTGTGTGATACGACTGCCTGTCATCTTTGCACTACGTCTTTATGGGGGAGGCACGCCACTTAAAATGCACAATAATGTTACGTTTCTCTTAGCTTGTAAATCATGTAATTTCACGCTTGTTTAAAAACCAAGTAGCGTGAATAAATCAGCTTTTGATCTGCAAAAAAATTCTTGCGGTGCGTGGAAATTAATATAGGGATGTAGAAATATCACGATTTGACATTTTTAAAAAATGCTTGTCAAAATACCTTCGTGTTTAGGAATTTGCATTCGTGCTTTTCTAATGAAGCATCTTCCAAAATAACACGAATTTCAGTATTTTTACATTTCTGGACATAGGCCTAATGCAAATCCTATGATTGGTGCCAGTTTAAAATCGGACAAATTGTTTAGTGTCTCGTATGTTTTTTGTTTTTTAAATATTAAACATGGCTACCCTGATCTCATAGCCTTTTATTTTCTTAGAATTTTAATTAATACAATAAATAGGTAGACATTGCTACGATTAATGTAATAATATAATAATTAGGCTACTCGTCTACTTTTTGGACTAAATTCCATTTGTATATAATTAATAGTAAATTTAAAGATGTTATATGCTATATCATATGCATGGAACAGCACTTGGTTATTTGAGCATATGTGCTCTTTCTCATCAAATTATCTTACTATTGTTTTTATACGCAAAATATGACCATAGAAACTGCCTTTTACCTGTGGCTGGTTTAAGTTAATCCTGTCATACTTTCTACAAGCAAGGACGAGTCAAAAGGATTTACATTCGTAGGTAACGATACCGTGAAATTGAATGATCTCTATCCACCTGAGAGAAATTATACACATTATTCAACGCAGCCCTAAGTAGACTGTATAGTGAAACACTCTACTAGCGAATTATCTTAATTGATAGGAGATTCTGAAAATATTTTGGTTAGAAGGTACGTTGCTGGTGTGGCCTGTTGTCTTCGTTAATGCGGTCTGTCACTTTCCTGTCCTCGGTTAAGTTTCTGTCCCCGGCACATTTGCACCCCGATGCTGTCCCGATTCTCGACCCATCCTGTCTTATGGTTTGAAAGAGAGAAGTGCATGGATGTCAAATTGCCCTTGAAAACACCGTGACAGATTGATTTGCAGGAACTTTTATCTTGCCTGACATTATTTCGGAGAGCCCTGAATAGGAAACCCGCGAGCGCGGGATGGAATAAAGATGTTTTCACTGTTGGAAGAACTGGGAAAGTGCCTGTTTTGTCCAACTTCGTCACCCTGGAAAAATATACCGTAGAAAATTGTGAAGAATTACAGCCATTGAAAGACAGTCCATCTAATCACGTAACAATGTCACAGTATAGGCCTACCGAAAGTTTAATATTAACATCCGATCACCACCTCAAGAGGATGGGAAGGTAAGTTCTGTCTAAACGACTTTTTGGGACCAGAAATTAAAGGTAAAGTCGGATTAAAAAAAAAAAAAAAAGTTTGCAGTAACTTCCAGAGTTGAAGAAATGTTGGAACTGGGAAAAACGTCCTAGTTTTGGCATATTAATTTATCCGGCTTGAATTTTGTGTAAATTTGCTTGTTAAAATTCGTTTCCGTATTATCTGCTTTTAGTAGCTAGGTATTTTTCGTGTTTGCGTAAAATTTGGCTATAAGGATAATTTCCAAATAAATTTTAAAATGATACGAATTCCATTTGGATCACGATTTTGTTCTTTCTGCAATATGCTGCTATTTGCTTACATATTCATTTAGTTTCATTTTGGGTGGTTGGTGGTGGATTAATAATCAAAAGTGCCGAAGTATTGATTTCGTGAATCAGTTTGTAGATCCCCGATTTTTCAAATATATTTAAAATTATTAGATTTAATAGGCCCATTAAGATTGCATGTATTAAAGTTATTTATTGCTTCGGCCTATATTAAAATAGGCCTATTATAGAACGCTTTCTTGTTAATAGTAGTCATTATAATATTAGTCGTCAGTATGTGCAATAATTCCCGGACAGCACGTAATAAGTAATTAAATATTTCCTGTGGGTCATTTCTGAAATATGCTGCTGATCATCCCGTACATGCATGTCTATGATGGTTTATTTCGAATGTCCAAATGAAATTCTCAATCTCTCTCTCTCTCTCTCTCTCTCTCCCTCTCTCCCTCTTCCTCCCCCCCCCCATACATCGCATACAAAAGGATGCTTTCTCAAAAAGGACGTGTAGTTTTCTTGAAGAACTTCAGAAAAGAGAACAGACATTAATAACCACTAGCGCTTCATACTTCTGCATACGAGGAGTAGTGAAAGTGAAAACATATCAGTTGCAATCGCCAGAAATTTATTTTATCGGCATCTTTATTTACTTTATATTAACAAACTTTCGAACACAAAACATCTGGAAAAAACACCAGTAGCCTTCGCGACTTATTTCAATATAAATTATCTCCGTCTTGTGCGAAGGAGTCTCATTATGGGCTCGGTATTTCCCGCTGACGCTCTGGTGTTGAAGTCTGGATTTAAAGCGCAGAGTTTCTCGCTATCTGAAATTATTACGTCGGACATCCTGCACAGCTTCCTTTACGGGCGATGGAGAAACGTTCTTGGGGAGCATCTCTGCGGTGGAAAGACCGGTGCGCTCAGCGGAAAAACCGCCTTCACCGCGGAAGTCCTCGCACAGTCTTTCTCGGGAGGTGGGTAAAAAAATAGCTATTAAATATTTTAATTATTTTAAACTAGTCTTTGTATTTTTTCAACATGACAAAAAGCTGATATCTTTCAATGATTTCCAGTGGTTTATAACTAATAATTGACAAGTAGCCTTCAATTAATAATCGATATATAAAATTTAAGTTAAGATTTTCAGTTAAATGAGTAGAGGGCAAATATAAATATTCTGGTAGATTTGGATTGTGACTTCTATGTGTGACTGCATATAAAAAAAATGTAATTTTTAAGTCTTCTTAAAAAGTCTTAACATATGATGTTGCTGTCAATGTTGTTAAAATCTGAACTGCCAAATTTAGCAAAAGAGGCACCGACAAACGTGCAGATAACATGTATTTTCCCAGAACACCGGGATTTTCCCTCAGTTTCGTGCTGCATTATTTTCTCACTTGGCCCATTCATTTCCACCCCTTTGGTCTAGTAACCCGTTTTAAGCGCATCGCAACCTTGCATTTAGACGCTTGTTAGGCGTGTAAATGCTGCTGACTCACTGAGGACGGGTATTAAATTCATTTGGTTAACTTTGCGCTTGACCTAAGAAATATTCGATTTAAGCTGAAAAAAGTTCCCTTTCTTTAAGATGTGCCTGGCTTTATCTCTCATTCATCAATCTCCGGACGCTCTTTTTCTCTTTATTGGCAGATATGGGGCTCCTCCGTTATTCGCTTTCTTCGGCTTTGAAAGATTGCTGTTCCTTAGCTAATATGCCATGAAGACTAATTCTTTTTCCATTCACGCCATGTCAAGTAACTAATCTCCCATCCATTTTTTGTAAGACAAACTCGAGCCTTTTAAACAAGCACGCATTTCAATCAGTCCGAATTTATTGCTACTAAGTTCTTAAAGAGATAATGAATTTAGAATTGACCGCTCTTCCCAGATGAGTTTAATGAATATCACATCTAAAGCATGGCAAATTGCTGGACCATGAGTAACAGTGGGCCATTTAGCCAGTCATTGTGCCTACTCCCCCCCGCCCCCCAAAAAATAAAATTTCTTTGATTTTGACATAAAAGGAGAGTAAGCGTTTCTTTAGTGTCAAATGCATTCCAAGCGTTTTATCCATCAGAACAATCAAATTCACTTAATCCATTTAATCGAATTAACATGCTGTAAAGATATAGTTTTTCCTTACCTAAATAAGAAATTTGCATTTTTTTCCAGCTTAAAACGTTTACTTTCAAACTCCTTTATAGACATGTAGAGAATACGGACAATATTTTATATTTGAGGAAAAAAACTGCAACAAAACATACTGAATTTTTAACCTGGGGTATTGCGGTCTCTTGTTTGATAGAAATATCCTAGATTTAGTTTTGTTACCCGGTTGTTTGACCAAAAATTGCTAAATTTCTTCAAATAAATGATTTTGTCATTGAAAATAATCCAATAAATTGTAGGGTTTTATTGTTGCATATTTCACCTCTTTTCACCCTGTAATATCTGAAATAATTATTATCATCATTTTCTCAAAGTTGCAAAGACTGTTTGGCCTATACGTCAGGTAGTATGAATTTTCTCAGAATACAGTGATTTTTCACTGCAAGTATGCAGACTATTTTATGAAATGTGTATAGAGCCACAATGCCAATCGGTAAATCTTAATATGTCTTCAGATATTTTCTTGCTATATATTCTTCATGGCCAGCTTGCTGTCACCCACAGAGAGCAAGTTGGGGGAGGGAGTAAAAAAAGGGAATTTCCCCACGGGGATCAATAATGTATCCATTATTAGTGTTATTATTGTTATTGTTATTATTATTATTATTATTTATTATTATTATCATTATTATTATTATTATATTTGCATTAGGCCTATATATTCATGTATTAATTTATTTTATGCATTCAACATAAAATGATTTTTGGGGGAAATAAGTCTTCAGACCTGCAGCTCATTCAGCGGAGCATCCCCTTCTACAAAGCCTGCGAAAGACCGGCCGAAATACTCCTGTCCCCCTGTCCCCCTGTGTTCTGAGACACTTAACTCCCTGTTTCCTGACAGAAGTTCAGAAGCTGTCCAGCCTGGTGCTACCCAGCGAGGTCGTCATCGCCCAGAGCTCCATTCCCGGTGAGGGACTTGGGATGTTCTCAAAGACGTGGATCAAGGCTGGGACAGAGATGGGTCCATTTACTGGCAGGATCATTGCTCCCGAGCATGTAGATCTGTACAAGAATAACAACCTCATGTGGGAGGTAGGCACCAATTAGAGTGTGATAAAGACTTTTATCATGACACACAAAAAACTGCTGCGTCATTTCTGTACTCAATTGTGTATGGTTAAAATTTACATTAAAGACCTACTTGACTTGTAGGAGCCATTCAGGAACATTCAGATGGGACAGTGTTAACATTTGAGTTTCTTGTGCTTGCAGGTTTTCAATGACGACGGAACTGTGCGCTGCTTCATCGATGCCAGTCAGGAGGACCACCGAGGCTGGATGACGTATATCAAGTGCGCTCGCAACGAGCAGGAGCAGAACCTGGAGGTGGTACAGGTCGGGGGCAGCATCTTCTACAGGGCTGTGGAGGTGAGAGAACCCTGCTGACTTGCTGCCTGGTTCTTCTCCTCCCCTATGAGCACGGTGAAAGATCCTCATGGCCAGCAAAAAAGGCAGAACCTTCTGTATCATACAGTTAGAACTGGGCTGTCCCAAGATGTTACACAAGTGGCTGAATTGACTCACCATTGTCATCTGTGCCTTAGAACAGTCCTGTATGCTGGCTTTGTCTTATAGTCCCAAACTCAGCTAGGGCCATTTTCTAGGTTGGTGCATTGAGTGTCGTCTGATGTGCTCTGTCATTTGCCTCCATTGTCTTCTGGCTTTCTTTCTCTCCCTCTCTCCTTTTTCCTTCTTTCCATTTCATTTTGTATGAATGATTTAACAATGGATGGCCACACACTCTTGTCAAGTGTCTTGGGGTGACTCTTGTGAAAGGCGCTATATAAAAATGAATTGAATTGAATTGATTTTGCATTAATCCTTTATATCTATACATGCCTGGAGTTGGCAATCAGATTAGATGCAAATTAAGTCTGCAAAGTATAATGATTAATTTGTGTGACCCTTTATGTCTGGATCATTCTCCATCTGTCTGCATTTTGTGGAGTGCAGTGCATGTTATGTTATGTTATGTCATTTTGTATATTTTATTTCCTGCTTGTGACACCAGACCATCCCACCCGACCAGGAGCTGCTGGTTTGGTACGGAAGCTCCCACAATACATTCTTGGGGATTCCCGGTGTTCCTGCCCTGCAGGACGAGCAGCAAAGGGGGAATAAGATGGGTGAGGCATTTTCCGCCGCTGGGGCAAAGGCTTTTGGGTGCGGAGATGATTTGGCTGAAATGACTGCTGTTAGATCCATTAAGTGGACAAAGTGTTGCTCTGTTGCCGGTCCTATTAATGCCTAAATGCCTCATTTGGGACAGTCCCTTTTCTGAGGCAGAGATCCATATTTATTCAAAACCTATTATCAATAAAGCCTCTGTCAGTGCTATAGGGCTTCCTAGGAGGAAGTAGGAATGTTGGACAGCTGCTTTTGCTGGCATTTATAAGAATGTCTGTTTTAACAAAATTTCACTAGTGGCCAGAATTATGAAAACACCTAGCATTTTTGGCATTCTGCTTTAAAAATAACTACAGGAATATCGGCAGTAATGTTTATAAACAATCAAAGGATGTTATAAATATCATAAATTGGACGATTAAATAAGTAAGTGAAGCAACAGTTGAATAAAGTTCTGCAGTCTCTAAAAATTGGACGTCTTTCCACAAATTTGCCCACTAGTGCAGATCTTCAATTATGAGCGTCAGCTGTTGGTTCATCTGCTCAACACCAGGTTGCAAACACAATATGACTCCTTTCCTTCTGCACAGATGACACCCACGCAAGTGATGGATTTGCACCGTCCACCTCCCCCCACTCCTCCTCTTCCTCTCCTCCTTCATCAATGGTGGCTGGTCGCATGCGCTGCGTCATCTGCCGGCGGGGCTTCAACTCGCGCAGCAACCTGCGGTCACACATGCGCATCCACACACTGGACAAGCCGTTCGTCTGCCGCTTCTGCGGACGCCGCTTCAGTCAGTCCTCCACCCTGCGCAACCACGTGCGGCTGCACACGGGGGAACGCCCCTACCAGTGCCATGTTTGCCAGAGTGCATACTCCCAGTTAGCGGGCCTGCGGGCACACCAGAAGAGTGCCAGGCACCGGCCGGAGCCAACGGTCGCTGTGGCAACAGTCACCACGACGACAAAGAGCCTAACCCTCTCAGCAACAGCCTTTGTGCCTCATGTGACCACCTCGGGATCTCCCACCATGGCATTGTGAAGAAGGACACATGAACACACACACACACACACACACACACACACACACACACTGATGCACATTGAAGTGTGTAAGCCTATAACCCTTCTCTGAGTTTCATCTCAGGTGTGCATCTCATCATCAATGTTGTAACGGGGAGACTCAAGGAGTCAGACTATGGCTACAGTCAGTCAGAGTCTAAGCTGGGCCTGGTTCCAGCTCAAAGTTGTAGTGTGGGCTACAGCATTCACTGAAGGGGCCAAGGTTGGGGGTATTTGGGTTTGAGCCAAGCTTGTGATTGGGTGGGCCAGGCCTGGTCTGAGCCAGCATAAACTGGTCTGCACTTCCCACCCACAGACTTATCAATCGGTGTCATCTGCTACAACATGCAATGCAATGGTAGTTCAACTGGGAGGGCAATGCAACCTCAGATGGAACAAAAGCAACTAACTAGTTAAACCGTATAAAAATACCTATTTGAAACCATTTGAATGTTTTCTCAGAGACTCCATGAGCCCCTTTATGTCCTGTCCTGCTCAGGGAAAGAATGCAGTGTCTGTGTGCTTTGCTTTGACAGGTTCTATGTAGTCACTTTAACACTGTAAATACGTGTACAAACTGTACATGATCACTTAGAAACATTTTTTTTATGATGGTATGCAATTATAAAATAACTGTACTACCTTGTATTTTAAATACATTATTACAAAAATATTTTTGTGTTGATATGTCATTTGAAATCAAAGCATCTACTCATAGGAAGGTTTCTCAACAATATTTCATTGATAAGAAAATATTTTGACCAAAACACTTAAATTTTCCATGTCCCTGAGGTTGTCTGAATTATAATGATTTCTTTCACAAATATTGTTTTGTGAGCAAAAGTCACTCTGAGATTAAGAGTACAGAATATTTTAAGAATAATCACTAATTTGAATATATTCAATGGCCACAAGATGATTTATCCAGGATGGCTTAATGCAGGGCTGCCCAACTCCAGTCCTGGGGGGCCGGAGCCCTGTACATTTTTGGGTTTCCCCTCATTTAACACACCTGATTCAACTCCTTGTGCTAATTACCACACAGCTCTTGAGCTGAATTATTTATGGTGGGAAAGAACTAAGCTACACAGGGCTCCGGCCCTCCAGTACTGGAGTTGTGCACCCCTGGCTCAATGTGACAATTCGTACTGTAAATTTTCTGTTATCCTCCAGTGGGGTAGGGGGCAATATTGAGCATGTCTATTATTTAATTACTCGGGAAAGTTTGGGAGTAGAAGAAGATAGAAGGTGGCCGTCAAAAATGATGTAGTGACGTCATTAAACGGCGACCGTATCTATAGGCGCGAGAGGAGAAAGCATGGCTGCTGGATTGATGCGATTACCCGTTTTCAGGAAACAAGAAACGGTATCGGAGTCAAATGAAAAACATCTCGTTGTTCCTGGAGATGTTATCACATCTGATACTGGCTTCATGCGGTAAAAGAACGTCGTTTTCCATTTTTAGTTGAGTAGTTAATCAAAGTCAGAGCTGGGGTCTAAATAATGATTTTGAATTACAGTAATAACTAGTTGCTTTCTATTATTATTTGTCCAATATGGCTTAAAATTCCTTTGTACTATCTTTTGTATGTTTTTTACATTCAGTTTGACGAGATTTTTGCTAGTTTTTTTGGTTATGTACCATACACTGACTATGGTATAAGTTAAGCTAACTCCCAAGCACGTGTGCAATATAAATAATACTGTAAACAAATAATAGCGGTTAATTTTTTTTTGGTTGGTTGGTTACCAGTCATCGCATTTGTGATGTTTTCTCATATTGCATGATGTACATAATCGTTTTCGATCTGCACACGAAAATAGCCGGATTGAATTGATTATATTTATAATTAATTATAGCATTATTTTTTACATTAAATTTACTGGTGTCTCAGTTTTCATAGTGTTTTAAAAACTTGGACTAACCCATTGGTTATTAGAGAAATGCCTATGGTTGGCACCTCGTGAAGCATGTCATGTGAACTCATTACGGAAGCATACATTTTCAGGGGCCATGGCACATATATGGATGAAGAAAAGCTAACGGCCTCTGTGGCTGGAGAAGTGGAGAGGGTCAACAAGCTCATCTGTGTACGTCCTTTAAAGACCAGGCGAGTCAGTTTTTTTTAAATAAATTGGTCTGTGCAGCAAGGTTTATTTTGAGTCTTATGTACAATAAATATGGTCCTTATGTTGATTTGTTGTATTTTAAGAAGGACAGCTCTTCTGTGCATAATTGCAGGTTATATATATATATATATATATATATATATATATATATATATATTGATTGCAAGCAACAAATTATTCATCCAACACCCAAAAATCATTGATAGAGCTTGAGAGGTCTAAAGTTGTTTTTGCTTCTTAGGTTCTATGGTGAAGTTGGAGACGTGGTGGTTGGAAGGATCACAGAGGTAGGGACCAGCAGGCCAGCAGAGGCATTGCCAGAGGTTACATCCATGCAGCTGCTTAACGTTTTGCATGTTTTGTGTTGCAGGTACAGCAGAAGCGGTGGAAGGTGGAGACCAACTCGCGCCTGGACTCGGTGCTTCTGCTGTCCTCCGTAAATCTGCCTGGGGGTGAGCTGGTGAGCACTGCACTGACAAGCTGAAGAATATGGCTGCTTAGGCCCCCATCTGCATATTTTTACCATATTTACTGCTCTTTACAATATGACTTGATACACAATATATATAATGGCCACAAGTTGACTAATCCAGGATGACTTGGTATGACTGTGACTGGCAAGTCTTGTCATTCGTGCTGTAAATTGTTACTTATCCTCCAGGGGGGTAGGGGGCAATATTGAGCATATGTATTATTTAATTACTTGGGAAAGTTTTGGAGTAGAAGAAGACAGAAAGCCACCGCCAAAATGATGTAGTGATATCAATAAACGGCAACCGTGTCTTACTGTACTGCATGAAATCTGTGATCTCTTAAGGCTAAGATTTTGTGAAAACCTGCAAATTCATCATCGTATGGTATTAATTTATTTCTATTGTCTGGGATTTTGGTTTTTTTTATGCATGGGATAATTTTTTTTTGTTGTTAATTGGGGTTGAGACTGTTTTACCATGTCACTAACTGCAAATCCATCAGAGGCATGTGTGGTGATAAGCTCTCGCTTTGTGTGGCCATCAGAGGAGGAGGTGTGCAGAAGATGAGCTGGCCATGAGGGACTATCTCCAGGAGGGCGACCTCATCAATGTATCCTCTGAATGACTGACAGCCAAGAAATAGTGATTCATCAAAAAAAATAAACTTGTACTGAGATACTGTGGGAATTAAAAATCGCACCCCCCTTTTTGATTTTAACCTGCCGTTCTGACAGGTGGACTAGCAGTTTAGACGAGTATTTCTCAACCCAGTCCTTGGGGGGGCCCCAGACGGTCCACGTTTTTAAACTCTCTCAGCCCCGTGCCAGACTGTCCACATTTTTGCTCCTAGTGGCAACTGGGAGGGAGCAAAAACAAGGACTGTCTGGGGGCCCCTGATGACCGGTTTGAGAAACACTGGTGTAGTCTACAATACCTTTTATTTTGTTGCTTATTGGCAAATTGTTTGCGGTTTCAAATTTGTTGCAACAAATGCAGGTCTTTGAGCCAAAACCACCATTAGATATGTTAAAAGGCTCAAATTAAGTTTGTCATTCCTGTTTTTTCTTTGACTGCATCCATCTTAGGCTGAGGTCCAGTCTGTATTTTCTGATGGAGCTCTCTCTCTCCACACTCGCAGTCTTAAATACGGAAAGGTAAGTTTCAGCTCTTCTACCTAGCCACCTATTTTTTATTAATATTGCGCATTAAGCATTTTTATACATATTTACTTGGAAAATATAACCTGTACTAAATGGACAATTAGCCTTTAATTAGTGTGTTTGCCTATTTTACACATCAATATATTTTACGAACGGAATTGAGGTTATGTGCTTTGCTTTAGACTATACTAGTTCCTAAGTGGGCTTTGGACATGACCTTTGACCTTTAAGTCCAGTGTTTTGTGTGGCTAATCGCTGTTCTGTCTCTCTGGTGCTCCACTCCAGTTGGGCCAGGGAGTGCTGGTGCAGGTGTCCCCCTCTTTGGTGAAAAGACAGAAGACTCACTTCCACAACCTTCCCTGTGGTGCCTCCATCATTCTGGGTAACAATGGTTACATATGGCTGTACCCTACCCCAGGTCAGCAGGATGAGGAGGCAGGCGGGTTCCACACTAGCATGGAGGTATGAGCTCCTGCAGAATAAAATCTAGTAGAGTTCAAAAATCCAGACCAAGATTTTGTTTCAACCAACCATATGAGTGACTATGACTCTTTATGCTCAACTGGTTGGTGGAAACAAAACCTCGGTCTGGATTTTTACTTTCTGGAACTGAACTATTCACCCCTGGGTTCAATGATGCAAGACGTCACAAGCTGATGTTTTTTTCTTTATCTAAAATAAAGCTGAAAAATTAACATGCTGGGTAGTGGGTACATTGTTTTCATTGCTGGGAGATGTCATCACTTCTCCGAATGCATCTCTTCACTTCCCCAGAAATGTAGAAATACACACTATGTCGTTCAGTTAAGTTTCCATAAAATTCCCAAGAAATCTACATTTGTGGAGAGCTGCTTTTTAATCACTTTTCCTCTTGTTTTCCTTCTATCTGCTCCTGTCTGCTGATTCTTTCTGACCTTGCTTGTTCCCCTTCACCTCTCCTGCCCCCCCAGCCTGTCTCTCTACCTGACAGGGAGGTGATCTCCAGGCTGAGAAACTGCATCCTTGCCCTGGCCACCCATAAGGTCATGCTGTATGACACCAGCGTGCTCTACTGCTATGAGTCTTCCCGACCACATGAGGTGACGTGCTGTTCTTCTAAGTATGTTTTCTGCTCTCATATAGTATACTCTACCTTCAGTGGTGTAGTGTCCTGGTAGTTGGGTATATATATTTATTATACTGTAAAGTATACACACTTCACGTCAATTTTTAGGTGGGTATACAGTAAATTCATTTTTAGAGGTATATACCTGTATATACCCACCTTTACACCTCTGCCATACATGTAATTTCTGTGAATATAAATATAGGTCATTCACCTTAAATATCAGAGGTAAAAAAATCAGTAGTTTCCCTATTGCATTAATGCTGCATTATTTTAGATTTGTAAGTACCATTGAGATGACCAATGCATAATTTGTAGTATCCGAATTCTTCGCCGTGACTTGACATACTCATTATATATTTCAATATTTAATTTTTCTAGATCAAGGACCTTTTGAAACCAGAGGTGATGGAGGAAGTTGTGATGATTACACGACAGCGGCTTGTTGAACAGGCTGGGTAGAGAGCAATGCATCATGGGTACATGGTGACATATCCTCCCAGGCCCCTGATTATGGTTTGTACTGAGCTCCATCACTCTCAGTGGACAGCAGTTGTCTCACTTTCTTTGAGGGGTGGGTGCGGGGGCATCAGTTACCTCTGCAGGTAAATACCTTGAGGTGGGTTACCTGAAGCTGCATCTGCTGGTGCTGTCCCATGACTGAAACCTGATGAGTGGATCAAGCAGAGTGCATCCTAAATAATTACTTAACCCATGTAAATAATTCCAAGATGAATAATTGTGTGGTAATTCTACTTAAGTATGTTTGCAAAAGTGATAGCAGGACCCTTTTTTAAAAGAAGAAAAAACTGTACAGTAACATTTTTGTTGTCAGAATTTAAAATAAATAAAGTAAACCATCACAGTACCTGGTCATATTTTATAGTCACAATTGTACCATATGTTATTGCTCTTACTAATGTGATTTAAGAAAGATTGACCTTAAGGAGGTTGTTGGACTCTACCTTTTTTCTACTAGTGGGTTTTCCTGTTTAATATGGGATTTATCCAGTGAACTTCTTTCCTCTATAAGGATTCAAAACGATTTATTCTTTTAAAATGTGCTGTTACCGAATTTGCTTAGAGCGGTGACTCTCAAACTTGTTACGCAGCGTAACATCTCAGATCTTGGTTACGGTAAAAGTCGTTGATGGTTTGGGAGGGGGGTCCCCATAGCTTTAGAACCACTGGCACAATAGTTTTCGTTAGACGTAGCTAATGAGGATTGGCCCACATGAATTTAGATGGTTTTATATTCATTTACAATGATGTTACCTAGAATGTCAGTGGGTATTGGGTGGGTCTGCACATTGTGTGACTAATTTTGACTGTTTTCAAGGGGGCAGAAGCCTCTAAATTCAGCCCTATGCTGAGGTGAGTATGGTGAAGCACTCTGCTTTGACTGACCAAAGTCCCTCCCCCTTGAACTGTACGGTTTCCAGTATCTGAAGTTAAATTTCATCTTACGTACTTATTGCAGTGATATGTTTACTCTCATCCCCCCCCCCCCCCCCAATCAGTTTGCAGTGCATTAAAGGATAACAACAAATAGCAGCATCAGACAATGACAACAGGAACAGAAAGTAATGGAGAAAATTAAACAATAAATAACACAAAAATCACAAATAACTAGCAAATGGGAGGGGAGATGGTACTGTGCATAGGACCAGTACTAATTCTACAGTGCCTTTATCATATGGTTAGTAACTCTTGGCTTGTGGGTAGAAACTGTTCCTGGAACATATGATTTGACTGGCGATGTTTCTGTGCCATTTGCTAGAAGGGAGGAGGGAGGAAATGGCTGCACAGGGTGACTGGGATCTTTGATAAGGCTTCCTCCCTTTCTGGGAAGGCATGTGGTGAAAATGTCCTGCAGTGAAGGCAGGCGCATACTGGCGATGACCTGAGAGGTCTTCCCCAGAGCCCTGTGGTCCTGAGCTGAGCAGCTGCAATACCATAGTGTAATTGGTCATGAATTCCAGTGTGCGTCTGTACTAGTTGGTGAGGGTTGCTGGTGACATGGACCTTTTTCAGGTGTCTGATGAAGGGGACATTGGCATACCTTCTGCATTGCTGCTGATGTGTGTTGTGTCCATATAAGTTTGTCTGTGATGGTACCTCCCAGAAACTTGAAGTTGCTGACACTCTCCACTGTGTGGCAGGAATGAGAGCATGGTTTGCCTTCTACTTCTGCAAATCGATGACCAGCATCTTGGTCTTGCTGACCGTAGCACCACACTGCCAGAAACCTGATCGCCTCCTTAGAGACTATGCGTGCTATACTTTCGTATGAAATATAAAATTTTATTCATCCTCCAAAATTCTTCCGTTATTAATAAGTACAACTTTAAAACGCTGATTTTTGAGTGTGCTTTAAGAAAGTTTTTAAAACCGCAATGCATGTATTAACCATAGCTGGGTTTTTTTTAGGATTTGATTATCCGTTGGATTACAATCTTAAAAAGGTACCTACCGGTAAATAGATCGTATCTACGATTCAGCTCTGCATGGAATACACCCCGCTGTCGTTTAAAAATCCTCAGCCCAAAATGCGCAGACGCGCGTACGCAACATGTATTTGCGTGCTGACGTCAAACGCGTGCACCCCCATGATTTGGTAAAACCACCCTTCGTACGGAAATATGGCGGCTTTGATTCGAATTTGATTAAAATTCGAATGGTCTTATTTTTAATGGACAGACAAGGAAATACGTCGGAAAGCACAACATTGTAAAGGCTGAGAGTCAGTAAAGCGCCCGAGGCGGCAGGGGAACCGCGACATTTGACTGACAGGACACTGGTGGACTCGGAAGAGGCGTTTTGTGTCGTCTACTTTAGGAAGAGGAGCCCTGGTGTTTGTAGCTACGCGTGGAGCTGGAGGGAGCGACCACCACTGGGGTCGGGGAGTGGGAGGGCAAAAAGCGGACACGGAAAGCGGAGGGTCGAGCCTAAGTGGATAGGAGGTTGGTATGTCAGAGACTGTCGAGTGATGTCGTGTCGTCGACACAGCAGCCTGTCCGGACTCCCTTCACGTCGGTGGATGCGAAGCTGCCGCGCGACTGCTGCGCGACCTCTTTAAACTCGGTCGGTGAATAAAAGCCACGCGCCGCAGCGCGAGGAGCCCGCTGGACTTCTTACCATGCGCTGTTTCACGCTGGTATACGCTTCAGTCCCTGCGCTAAAAGCTGCGTTCTCGGGTGTGTCGCTCCGCAGTTGGGTCGCCTCGATAACCAGCTGAACTTGCATGACACTAGTCAAGGAATGAACTTCTCTATTTCCCGTTGATTGGATATTTAACCTTAGCTAAACTGGATTATATGGGAGTACATTTGGAATCAGAATGGTTAAACATTGATCGGGAATGTGACTGGACATCAAGTATGGAATTGACTTTGTAGTCAACAGCTCATAAGGTGTGTTTTTGGAGTCAGGAAAACATTACGTGGGAAAATGGTGTAATTTTGATTCTCGTCATCGGCAGTCACTTTACTTCTTTCTGCTGTCTCATTAATACTGACATAAGACTAAGTAATGAGCCAACTGAGAGGTGATAACTAGATATTAATGACCACTATGATATATGTACGGTGTAGCATTCAAAGGCCTATTTATTACTGAAATCCACTAATGTGAAATATCGTTTATTGTAATTAAGAGAAATCTATGCACAGCCATGGATCGTGTCATTGCCTTTAAATATGTCTGTATTTATTATGACCTGGGTGCCTTGCTGCAATGCACGTCATTCCGATTTATTTAAGTTTTGGCTTTTGGCTGCTAAGATGGTTTTCATGTAGTTACACCGTGATCACGTTTAGGTAACAACATTTAAAAAAAAATAAATTATGGATTATCGCCCTAAACTTGTTTTTAACACTATCATTAGAGAGTATAGTCTTACTAGAATCATGTTTTTATATCTTGTGGCACCTGTCACGCTAGGTTAGGTTTAGTTTTATGGCATGTTCAACCCTTTCCTTTTAACCAACCCAATATGGTGCAAAACAGATTACACTTTTTGTTTAAATCAAGTGGCCTTATGTGTGAATCTGCAACCAAAATATAACAGCCAAAACATTAGCTTGCACAATACTTGTATTTGCAGCATTCTGAATTTTACTCTGAACACACTTGTACTGTGAAGATGTTCATTTCTATGCATTAGAACACATGAATGAAACTGGGCACTGTACAGGGTAGTGGTTGTGAATGGCACATTGGGCGCTGGACAGTCACAGCAGTCGATGAGCGGTAGAACAGAGTGGCTCCTGGATGACCCAGATTTCAGGCCTCCTAGCCGCACCAGAGTCTGGCTTTATTGGATTTTAGGTCCGGTTTGGGCAACGCCTGTGGAGTGCACCAGCAAAAGCGGAGTGGAATCATCACACAGAGGACTGCTCGGTGCTGAAGTCCCCAACATCCAACCGGGGAGACACCCACCGCAGTAGCGAGCGCTCACGGTGTAATTCCGGCCTCCCGCCTTTATGGGGCAGCAGCCGGGGAAGTTTGTCAGCGAGCAGCGGAGGCCCAGTCTGGCAGCGCTGCCCTTCATCAAGGTAGTTAGGCGGGAGCCGCAGCGCCATGGGGCCCCTCCCTGCAACGTCTTCGCTGTGCACGGTAAGAACCCATCCCTCTGAGCTCTATATGTTGGACCTGTTTGCTGTTTTTTGGTTTATGTAGTCTAAGTCCAAACTTAGTGAGATTTTATATGTGGGTGGTTTAAGTCTCATACAACAACTTCATAAAGTCTGACCTTTAATTTGCTGTTAGGAAATAACCAGTTGTTGTCACGGGATTCCTAATTTTGATGTTTTCTGGCCCCAGTATACCCTCTGTTCTTGCTACAACTTGTCCAGTGTACCAAATTCCTGCCAGTGTTTGACAGGGTTCATGGCAGTTCGGTAACCTTCAGCTGCTTTACAAGACTGCAAGAGTTGGGGAGGCACTTTGCACTGGTTTCTGTTGGGAGGGATCTGCTCTTTCTGGGGTCTTGTTTTAGAATGAGCCCCACTGGGGGTCATTGATCTGTGTGCTAACAGAGAAGCAAATTAATTTAGCTAAAAAGTAGCTTCAGAAGTTAGGGTACAAGAGGAGGCATGCTTAGTTGGCACAAAACACATTTTTATGTCAAGTAAGTTTGCTTGGTTTTTAAATTATGTACTGTTGACTATATCTCAACTTATAACATATAGCTGTTGGTACAAATTAAAACTCATTGTCAACTGCAAAACCCGGCTGGTACAAGGCTGGTCAGTAGAGCAATGGTTAAGGAGCTCCACTGCCAGAAGTTGTTGCTGGTTCTTGGCCAAAATGAGGTCCAGCTTTGGTACTCTTGAGCATAATTTCTTAATCTAAATTGCTTCATTTCTCTAACCTTCGGCTCTACATACGTGGGTCAAGTGCGAATCTGTTGGGTGTGACAGCTAATATTTGGAAGTGATGTTTTCTGGTTTTGTGACATGCACATTATTGTTGAATGTGTCTAAGAACAGAGCATGGATGTTGGGGCATGGGTAGGGGGGTAGGCCATCTGCTGATCCAGGGTGTTAGAGTGGGGGTGTGAGCCATAGAGAAAGGAGGGGGAGAGAGAGAAGTAATTTTGGATCTCTAATTCATGAACCTCCCCACCCCCAACCATTCCCAGTCCTCCCCTGGCATCTGCAGCTGCTCACGCGATGCTCTCGCTCATCCAGTTCTGAGCTCCACTGGCAGGGAGAGGAGCTGGGGCGGAAAAAGGCAGCATAGGGCAAGCAGAGGCCTGTCCATGCGCCTCTGTTCGCAGGGCCTGCATGATCTCTCTGATGGAGCACACTGTACATGAAAGGCTGGGAGCTCCGTGGCCGCCCTTCGCAGAACGCGTAGCTGTAGCTGTCCTTGTCTGGTCACTCATGCTGTGACATTTCCTTGATGTGCTAAGTTACCTAAAAGAGAGTAAAGCAGCCATGTGATTGGGGCTCCTGGGAATGTTTGTCAGGAAGTGTTGTCCCTCCCTGCCATCTCCAAACAGGAAGGTGGTTCATAGAGGCGTGTTTGTGCGATAGTGGCTTGACTCAGGGATGTGGGTGGACTTTCTGCAGTTTTCTCCTGCAGTGGTATTCCAGTTCGATTCCCGTAGACTTTTGTTCTATCAGCCATGTTCTTGCCTGTTCCATCTTTGTGAGAACACCCTGAGGTGTCCTCGGTCCTCTGTGCTGCTTTTTTTCAGTGTGCAGAGTGCGAGTTGGCAGGTCTCAGGTAGCCTAACTCTCAGCCTCTCTCAGCTTTTCATTAAACGGTAGCTTCATAAGCTGGTGGGGCAGCTTATGAAGGGTGTCAGAGCTCTGGTGCTGTCTATTCGATCCAGTAACATTTAGATTACTCTCGTCACTTGGCAGGACTCTGCCCCCTTTCCCCTACCAAGGCTTCTTGTAACATGTTGTCCAGCACTGTAACTTCTCTTTGGAGGCCAGCAGATACCCAGAAACAGAGTGTGCTGCCGGGCAAAGGTTAGAACAGCTCATGCTCTGTGCAGTGGTTTTGGAGGAAGTACCTTGTTTTTGCAGAATGCCCTGATATAGAGGATGGTTCCTCATATATAGCATGTATTTCCTTAAAATTGATCTTTTGTCTGGCACTACCTGCATTGCCAGAATACATTTCTGTTTTCTGTAGCTAGCTTTGTATTTTCTGAAACCTTTCAGTATAAGAGCTTCAGTTCATGTGTTTTTCCCCCTTCCTATATAGCAGGGTTATTCAAATCATGGTATTCAAGAACCAAGCACTGCTGATTTTCCAGCCTTCCTTTATCTGTAAACCATGTGTGAAGTCTCTGTACCCAATCAGAATCAGTAATTATTAAACTACCTGGGAGACCTGAAAACAAGGCCTGGATTTGGAATTGGGCCCTTGAGGAGCCCTGCCATTCAGCTTTGGTCAGCGTACGGCAGTATACCAAGTATAGGTGTCATAGTGGCACGGCTTCCTTTCTGGTGTCTGGTAGCCTGTGTAATAGTGCTGGGGTCTGGACCAGCTGTCCTCAACTTATAGATAGTGAGGGAAAAGCAAACATATTTTGAGTGCTTTCCCCATATTGTTTTGATCAATTTATGTGCGCTGAGGCATGACTGCATTAATGATGGATGGATGGATGGATGGACAGGCATATTGCTATAGACACATATAGATAGGTAAACATGTAGACGTATAGGTATAGATGTACAGTATAGGGATGGATGGGTTATGCGTATCTTGGCAGCACTTTTTGACCTCATGGTCTTTATGATTTGTTGCCTCTCTGGGTGGGATCCCCTATGAGCATGCTCTGCAGTGTCCAGTGCAGCAAATGGTCGGTTCTGTCCATGGGGAGTGTGGGGTCCTTGGCCTTTTGGTCTTTGGGGAGGTCTGTGGAATGAATGGGATGGGCTAAGCTCTCACAGTTCTGCCTTCTCACCTTATTTTAAAACAAAATCAGATGGGAGAATGTGGCAGAGATGCTGTATTTTGCCGCTTCATGAAAATCGAGTATGACCACAACTTCGAGCTATTTGGCAGCATTTTAACAGAAGCTTGCAGGCTGCTTTCTGGTTAAATTATTTATCTGACTGTGTGAACTTAAGGTCCTCATGCCGCCAAGCAGAAGCCCTGAGTTATTGATTGACACACTGCTGAATATGTGTGTGTGTGTGTGTGTGTGTGTGTGGTGGGG